TAATGGGATACTATAAAAGCTTGCTGTATGGATAGACTTTATTACTGTTACTTGAGTTGAGACAATGCCCTAAAGGGTCTGATCACTGATTAGAGCCTCGTGTCCTGCTCACTACATGCACATGTAATGAAAGGCCAGCCCCTTACCTGGAAGAGATAAGAGCTTTAAAAGGAAATCAGATCTGGTTCTTCCCAAGGCTGTAAACTGCAACTAGCACAGGATTACTGAGGTCGTAGTAATATGTGTTGACTAGCCTTCCCTGTCAAGGACACATGGATTTTTCCTAGTGCATCTTGTGCCCATGGGAGGACAGTCCTAGAAGTCTTCGCAGACCAAGGTCGCCTTTGGTACCATCCATGGTCCTCCCAGGAAGGTGAGAGGATTGAGAAGAGTAAGCTGAACTCCAGGTGGGGGTGAGAAGGCCCCACTATACATGACAGGCTAGGTGATGTGAGTCCAGTAGTTCCCTGTACTGGACTCATATAAATGCCTGGCATGTGAGTGGAGGGGAAGCGGGGCAGGTAGAGCTGGGGAGAAATGCTCCCTTAATAAAGCTGCAGCTTTTTGCTTAAATCTGTTCTTGTGGCTCTCCACTTCCTTGCAGCTTCTGACCAATGCAAGTGATCGGTACCATAAAATGACTGCTGCTAAAACTCTACGTTTAAAAGAAATAAATACCCATAACAGAAGTTCATGTTGTCAATTATGGGAATCCCTTTTTATTAATCTTGCTAACATCTATATCCTCCAGTCTCTTGACCAGCCAAGGAGATACAGTAGTATTAATCAATTCGAAGGTTATTAGACCAATATATCCCTAAATATTGGTTTCAGCACATGAATGAAAATTCTTCATTGGATAATCAGTTTAGTTCTGCCTGTCAGAACTGGTACAAGCATACAATTATTTTAGCCTTTGCACAGATCTTAATTTACGTATGATTAAAAATGCCTCAGTTCCAATGTACTTGATGCATGAGGAAAGTTCCCTCTTCTTACAGAGAGATTTTTAAGCTTAAAAGGAGACAGTTACTTCACAGAAGCACGTGGATCCCCAGATTCGAGACCTGTGACCCCACAGGAGAGAGGTCAGGAATGGGTATTGCTGAGGGTCAACCGTGCTGCCCTTCCGGTATTGCCAGATGTGGGAGGAGAGTTCAGCAAGGGTCTAACTAGACAGAGGAAAATCCTTGTATGGAAAAAACTGATTATCACTGTAGCTAGGGAAGAATGATGCATAAGGCAAAAGTTATCCTCCTGCTGCCTTTCCCCTAAAGAGAAAATAAATTCTCTGGTCCCAGAACAGGGTCAGGTTTATGAGGGGCTTTTTGTTTGGGTTTTAAAAAAAATTTTACTCTGCCTTTACACTTCATTCCTCCAGCAGCTTTTCACAGAAGCCACTCATGACATGGTGGGCTGACTGGTCCCTTCCTCTGAAGCTGCAATCACTGTTTCCCTTTTCGGTTGATTTGTTTCCTTCCCACGTTTAAAACTTCACCAACGTAAGGAGCAAAGTTTCCTGAATTTCTGCGAGCTGAGCTCCATTACAGTGCTGACTGCAGAAAATATGGAGGTATTTGATACTTCTTTTTAATAATCCAGTGCAAGCTCAAGGCCACATCGGGAGGCAACCAACTAGCGCCTAAGAACAAATATTGCAAGTGAAGCATGGGACGAGCAAGCAGTTGAAGTTCACCGTATCATTTTAGATAAGTATGTGTTTGCCCTAATAACGTCTAAGAACACAAAGAAAACCAGCCGGCTGAAAACAAAGTGAATTTTTTATGGAATATTTCACCAACAGTCCTTTTTCTTTTAACAAACTTTCCAATTAGAGAGAAATGCAACATTAAGTGTACACTGAGCATACTTTCTCCCATATCAGTTGGCATAAGACTACGGTCCATAGGTGGAGCACTTGTTCCAGTACTGGAAGTATTTGTTACATTGGCTTCATTTGTTTGAAAGGGAAAGCTGAAATGCTGATCTAAGTATTCGAACATCCTCCTGGCAGCAACAACTATTTATAAAAAAACAAGGGTTCTTAGTCTCTCACATTTTATTTTACCCAGGTATAAACTATTAACTCAGTTTCACTTTGAATTTCTCACTTCCATTTTCAGAAAGATGACAACATTCACTTTAAGCATTATTATATATAACTAGAATGTTTCCTAACCTACTATTCAGTATAAAAAGAAGCCTCTTGGATCTGGATGCAGGTCCTTTTGTACAGCTCCAAAGAGGGGAGTCCCACTGTTACAGTTGAAGTGAAGCCTAAATGTGATGTGAATCAATATTCTTTCATAGTTAACACACGAAACAACAGATCATAATACTTAAATATTCAAATCACTTCTAAACTACCAGTCACTCATTTTGTATGCAATGCTATACCTAAGCTAACTACTGAAACAAAAAATACAAGACACCCAAAATATCGCCCTTGAATCTATTCTCAGGTTTTTTTTTATGTGGTAATCACAGAAAACAGGGCTAGAAGGGACCTTATAGTCCCCAGGGTAAGATCAACTCTAACTAAACAATAACTTTCAAGTATTTACCTAACCTCCTCTTAAAATCCTCTTACGATGACAAGTCAACATCCTCTGAAGGTGATCTAGTCCAGTGCTTAACTCAGCTTACAGATAGAAAACTTTTCTTAATGTCTAACCCAAATGACTCTTGCTGCAATTAAGTCTATTGTTTCTTGCCCTCTTCCTCGGGGACATGAGAACAGTTTTATAAACTTCCTCTTTGCAACAACTCTATATGTAGCTGAAGACTCCTCCGTCTTTGTTGTTTTGTACGAAACAACCTTAATTCTTTCAGTCCCTCCTCACAGATCTTATCTGCTAGACCTCTGATGGCCTTCTTCCAGCTGGTCTATATCTTTCTTGAACTGTGATGCCCAAAACTGGATATAGCGTTCACCTGAGGCTTTGCTAGTGCTGAGTACAGTGGAAAGATTGTTCCATGGTTTTTACATACCGTACTCTTCTTCAGTACCATAGCAATGGCCTTGCACCGGGAGGGGCATCAAATCAAATGGAAGTAACGTTACAAAATTGTTTATAGGGAGGTGCTCTACACATGACTTGCATGGGGGTGCCAAAATGCCTGACTATGGCTCTCCTCTTTTTCATACATCCCAGGATAGTGTTTGCTTTATTTACTAGGAGAACACTACTGACCCACTCTCATGTTGTGATCTGCTATACCCCACCAGATACGTTCTCTGCAGAACTCCTGCCGAGCCCCCCATTCCTCACTTTGTATGTATGTAGCCGATAAGCCCCACCTAAGAGTAGAACTTTGTACTCATCCTTACTGCAGTATACCTTTTTTATTTCAGGCCATTTCTCCAGTTTACCATGGTCATTTTGCATTGTAATTCTATCCTGCACAGTGCTACCAACCCCTCCGAGCTTGGTTTTATTTGGAAATGCAATAAGTGTACTTTGTATTGTATTATCCACATTGAACATACTGAACAGTACTTGACCCAGGACCAACTCCTGAAGACGTCTACTTGATGCAGCCTTCCAGTCTATGAGTGAAGCAGTGATAACTTCTCAGAATATAGTTTTCCAGCTAGTTGTGTACCCACCTTATAGGAGTTTTCTTTAGATAACAATTTCCCCATCTTACAAGGACATGTGAGACAATGAAAAAGGACTAAGTCAAATCAAGATGCATCACATATATTGTTTATTCTCCATCCACGGGACGTCTCATCCAGGCATGGAAGGAAATTATGTTGGTTTTTCATGACTTGTTCTTGACAAACCTATGTTGGTGCCACACTGGCAAGGTGTTGCACTGCTTATGAGTCCACAATACATAAATAACAGAGTGGCAAACTGCATCCCAGCCAAAAAGGCACTTATGTGGCTGGAAAACTGCCATTTAGTCTTACAAAATAAGAACGGGACCTTAAGGTATAGCTGTTCCTCTCAGTATTAGTCTTCCTTTGCACAGCTTGGAAAAAGGTTTACTAATAGTTTCAGAAGTTGGTTGTAGGCTAGATGTGGAAAAAACTGTTTTGAACTAAGGAGTCAGAATATGTTTGGATATTATGAAATTTAATTGGAAGGCATGTACATTTTCTACTAATTGTGTTGAGGTACTTGAACAACTTTAACAATAAAAAGTTAGCTATGATTTTAGGACACAATATAGGTGGAAGTAACATCTCATTATAAACATCTAACTGGAACATGATATGGAGTATGTAGGTCAGATGTTGCTCTTTATGTAGTCTTGATAAGTCCAAGGGAATTACAGAAGCATTATGGATTTGTTATGGCAAGTCTACCAAAGTCCCGATTTACCACATGCTAGTTAAAATTTTCTCAAATCCGAAAAGGCTACATCATGGAGACTGTACCATTCATAAGATGTTATCTGGACTACAGTAAAGAAGCTATGCAGAAAACTTGGTCAACAACTCTGGGAATTCATTAGTCTCCTGTTGGAAATAAGACACTTGTGAGTTTCTGAAATGCTGCAAAAGCCTACGGATATATTTTATAGCAGCTGCAAAAACTCATGGTCTGATGTGTTAATGAAGCTATGCTTGCTCCCAATGATGGCCTCATTAACGCCTGTCAATATTATACGAATTAAAACTAAGTGCAAAGGAATTTTATATTGATGGCTCTGTGCTACAAATTTGACAGCATGGGATTGACAGTTGAAGATGATATATTATTGCTTTTTTAGCCTTTTGTTGGAATGAGCAATAATCTGAATTTCAATCTGAAAAAGAAACCCTATTTCATATTTCTAATGCACTAGCTTTTCCCTAAATGAATTTTTATAGATGCTATTTTATTAAATCACAAAGGTTTCTTATATACCTGCAGAAATAAAAACAGCACCATGCAAAAAGCAGCCAGCTTTATTACTGTCAGAGGTTTATTGGCAGAAACTTTTAAAAGTATATTCACAAACTCCTTCTGAGAAGCCGTACGATACCTAAAATGTTAAACGTTTACCTCTGGTGCAATGTAGTCTGGAGTCCCACAGAATGTCCTGGTCGTTACTCCATCTGACATATTTTCTTTGCACATTCCAAAATCAGCAATCTTAATGTGTCCTTCTGAATCCAACATCACATTATCCAATTTCAGATCTCTATGAAGAGTCATAGTACATTAATATTAAATCTTAAGAGAAATTGGGCCATTGTGTGCTTGTGTACATGCATGTGTGTTAGGGAGAAGTCATGACTTCTGCGTGTTCTAGGGAGATATTAAGTATCTCATGGCATCTTCTGCAAACATAGGGGCTTGTGCCTCTGTCCTACAACAATACATACACTTTCTCCATAGGTGTGATGCCTCCCAGGATTGGCTGCATATTATTGTACCACATATACTTTGTGAAGACCTTGGGGTGGAAGGAGATGCATCAAATTTGGAATGAGACAGTCAAATTTTTGTCTGGGGAAGGATGAGGAAGAATGATCTGATGATTTGGTAGCATATTGAGGGGAGCAGTGTAAAAATGGGACAGTAAGATTAAATCTTTTCATAAAGTCCAAGAAGTCCCATTAGAGCTGGACAAGAGAATGTATATTCTGCATTGCCGTGGGAATGTCATGTGATCACATATTAAAGGGGAAGTACCCCAGGCCATGATTCAGATGTGGTCTACAACATTAAAAAAATCTGAGAGCTGCTCCTAGAAGCCAACCCTCCATGAGTAAAAAGCAGTAAGTAACAAGTAAATATTTAATTAAAGGTCAGCATTCAACAAGATAAAAATGGAATTAATGCTCAAATTATTATAAGTCAGGATTCCTTTTGAAGCCAGTGGCATCTGACAAATACTGTCTGATGCACCTGAGTCAAAGACTGGAGGATCTAGTTCTACCCTCAAATGTTTTGGTCATCTTGATTCTGTTACCTTATGAATTTACTTTTGCCTAGTAAAATCCCCATTCCCAAAATACATGGCAGAGAATTCCTAATTCCCCAAATTCCTAACTGGCAAGGCTCTTATGTTCACTTTTTTGGATCTACAGAAACATGTTGCAGTTGAATTATTTACGGGGTTACGTAAGGTACATTTGGAGGATAAAAGCACTATAAGGAATCTGAAAATGTCAACAGCATAAAAACAAATATGCACATGCGCGCACACGCACACTAATTTGGACATGTGATATGATGCGAGGCTGAACAACAGGAATACTCTTAAATATTTCCAGTTGAACACTGTCAAGTGCAGCGTCCATATGATATCTAAGACGGGCAGTCTTACTTGGTTGCACCACTGTAAAAGACAAAACAGTGAATTCAACACTGACTGCTTGCTTCTAAAACCATTTTAAATACTATAAAAATCCAAACACAAAGGTCCATCTGGGATATTCCTAAGAGCTGAATAATAACAATGACTTGTGTTGGTCAGTACTCACCTGTAAATAATTCCTCTAATATGGAGAAAGAATAACCCAACTGAAATCTCAGCTGCATAGAACCTGTAAAGGGAGAATTTTGTGTTTTTATTTGTATACAATTTTCCTCTGCTGAAGTGTATTTTAAATCCAATGTGCGAAAGAATGCAAGTAGAAGAGTATAAAATGCTACCTTATTAATTTTACTCGCACACATACATACCTATAGAGGGAGGGAGGGAGGATAAATGACACCCTGGATCAACTTGATTTTAACTATTATTTGTTTTTAATTTAAACTCTTTGATAATATCATGACAAAAGAAGCAAAGAATATGAATCTTTCTTAGGCACCCTCTATACATTACAGCTTTTGTGCAATTAACTGGGTAACTGTGCAATTAAACTGAGACCATCTACATGTGCAAAGTACCTCTCATACTATAAAAGGGTCCAATCATCTATAAAGTTAGACCTTGAAAATGTGTACTCACTTAATAGCTGGTTGCTATCCAGCTTTAGTTTGCATGTGTAGCAGAGTTTCCCATGTGGCTGGCAGCCCAATCGGCTGATTGGGCTCCCAGCTGCAGGGGGGCACCATGCCCAGCTGGGGCTGGGAGTGCTGAAGCTAAGGGACTCTCAGCTCTTGCAGCGCCCAGCAGCTGTGGGGCACGGCTATGATCGCCCAGCTCTGGGGTGCATTGTGTGTCTCTGCAGCTGGGAGATGGCAGTCCTGCAGCTGTTGGGACTTACAGCCTTGACTACATATGGGGCATAGTGAGGCTGTGAACCCTCTATTTGCTGTATCAAGGGGAGCCCAGGATGGCAACTCTGGGCTCCCCAGGTACGGGCAAGAAGGTGTACTAGGATCTTAAGCTGGATCCTACAATTGCGCCTCCTGCGATGCACATGTGGCATTACAGGAGGCGTGACTGACTGACTCACATGTCAGATCCTATCATGTGTCTACCTGCCCTTAAACTGAGAGCAACATGGTGCAATGATGGCATGACAGGTATCCAATACGTAATATGACTGAATAGGTCATTCCTCAACATCTGATCATGCCTGAATATTTGTCTAACGCTACAACTTAATTTACACTGCGTTAAATCATTTATAAAATTACTGTTCCTTTATAAAAATGTTAATGGATTAATTACATGCAGCTAGCAGAGTAACTACCACAGAAAATGTACTTGCTGAATGTAGTTTAATCGTGTATAATACTGATAAGCTTTTGAAGCCAGAGTTGCTGTGCACTTGTGCAAATTGCACAGAAGAGGGCTATTAAAAGACTAAATTAATTATTAAGTTTAATAAGAGAAGGAGGCAGCTTTGCTCCAAAAACGCTGGTTCAGAATTGTGTGGGAACACTCTCTTTGGGATATTATCACCAAAAACTCTTGGGTGGGGAAGGGCCTCAGCCGGGGTAACTTATTCAGAGATCCTGGTTTTCTCTGTTTAAAAATACCAAATTCTCTGATAAAAATCAGAAATTCACTGATTAAAACCCCCCAAATTTGTGTTTTTCCATGACGCCACTGTATATATAGATATCAGTGGAACAAAATGATGTAGTGATACATTTAAAATTTTAAAGCAATTTGGAAGCCTACCAGTGCCTCAATTATTATAATAAAATAAATTCTAAATACACCTCTGCCAGTCTGCCAGGGGAAACCCATGGTTTCCCATGTTTTTCTCCTTTAAAATAGAAAATCTGAATTTTTCCGCAGCAAATGGAGACCCCAGATCTCAGTGTCTTATACTGCAAATGCTTTCAATGGCGCTTTGACAGTTTACACCAGATGAGGATCCATCCATTCCTCAGATTCCCCTGGCTTTTCTTTAGTTCTTCATTGGGTCAGATGTCACCATTTGTCTTTTACAGATCAAATCTTCACTTCAGATTAACTCTGCCTTATTTCACTCATCCAAAATCCAAATTCTTTTTAACACACTTGCATTTTTTAAAACAAGTCTTCAAATGTTGTATTAAAATTTCATTCATAAATGAACTGTAAAGTGGTGAATAAATGATTCATAGATGTTAATAGTATGTTAAACATGACTATGTCAAGGTGGTTAGAAGCAGCCCACTGGCCTGTTGGACTCCATAAGAGCTTAACCACTGATATTTATTAAAATATCGATTAATTATTAGTTTATTTCTACACATGATTTATATATAGAATTTTAATATAAAGCACAATTCTAAAACTTCTTCCTAACTACTAATTAAGTCTTTATTATAGTATAACTTTTAATCAGTTCCCACTGTCTTTCACTGTAGTGCCCATTTAGAATGACTAGAATCAGTAATAACATATTTAATTTCCTGCTGTCCGAAACATTACTACTTGGGAGATCTGGATTTAGTCAATGTGAGTTTGTTGCTGTTTGTTTTTCAAATAATCTGCCTCCAGTGGTAAATCAGCACATACCATTTTCAGATCAGTATTGTGTTGAAGGTCAACAGATCGGCAAAGGTTGCACCAGCCCAGACAGAACAATGCCCAGCAGGTTTCTACAGGATACTGCATTCTCAAAGGTGCAAAATGAAATAAATGGAAACGAACACTCACACTGCTTGTGGCTCCTTAAATTTCCCTACTTGCTGAATGTGATACATGAGGTCACCGCCATTCACATACTCCATAACAAAGTACAGACGATCCTAGGAAACAGCATTGAAAAGGTAAGTATATCAGTAGAGGCCACTGCACTATTACGGATGAGTCTAACCTCAAACAATCTTACAAGCGTATCTGTGTCAAAGAAAGCTAAAGATGCTGAGCCTCCGTGAAATCTTCTGTTTTATATTATACACTTGTGTATAGGTACCTAAGCTCCAATGTATAAAAAGTCAGACATCCTCTCATAACTGAGCACCCTTGTGCAGGATACTTTGGCAGGCGGTGACATGATCAAAAACCAACCCAATGTTATCATCAGCAGTTCAAATGTGATCCAGAAAGCATCAGTGATGGGTGGGCAGTACTCATCCTTGTAGTCGCACAGAGCATAATTACTGCTCCCTTCTGCTTTCTTTATTTGCTTTAGGTGGGGCCCAAATCCTGAAATATCTAATCAAAAGTTTCAGTCTAATGTATTCAGACAGGAAGGAGACTTATTACTAAAATCTACTATTTCAGTCCTTACTCCCTCTTTGCCTCAGGATCTCTGATTAAAAACAAAAATCTCCCCAACAGTTTTTCACATTGCTCAGTAACTTGTTCTCATCTAAGATTTCAGTAGGTTTATAGGCATTTAAAAGCTCCAATTCTCTTGATTGTGTTTAAGAGACATGCCCTGGGTAAAATGATTAATTGGGCAAACCACAACTCTAAGATCTTGCTATAAATTATCTATTATAAAACTCCCAGCAAGAGAAATGTGCAAGGAAAAAAGAATAAACTGAAAGAAACTAATCATATGCTTTACTGTAGGCAGGCAGGTCATGCCATTTCTTCCCTTCACATCCAGCTTTTTTATTTTTGTTGCTAAGATGCAGTGCTCGAATCCTTGTCTGCCACACGGGAGACCTGGATTCAATTCCCGGACATGCATGTAACTACAGCTGTTGAGGCACCGCATGTCTGGACTTGGTGTGGTCTTTGCATTGTCTCAATGGTCTGACGGGGGATGAAAGCTCTGGGCAGCCTCCGCTCCTCCGTGCTCCTGCATAGGTGTGTGTGTCGAGGGTCCCGGTGACCTCTCGTGCATACACCACGATCCAGAAGGATTGACAGTTGCCTACTAATCCTCTACAATGTTTCACAGCACTGGGTGCAAACAGATGAATATTTATGAAAATATTACCTAAATGAGGCAAAGGTGTTTGTTATGGTCTAAGTTCTTATACAGCAAGGGTGACCATCAGTCCCATTTTTCCTGGGGCAGCTCCTGATTTTGGAGGCTGGTCCCGAGCACGGGGCACAGATTAAAAGAAATGTCCTGTGCATGGGGCGCAGTCTACGGGAGCGGCGCAGTGTCCCGGGGAAGTGGCTGGGCAAGTTGCCGCTCCACCTCCGCGTCTCCCTGCAGTGCGCCGCTGACTTGGGAGGCGCGGAGGGGGAGCAGCGGTCCAGATGTCTTGTATTTCCAACCAGGACTGATGGTCACCCTATAGATGGTCCCGCTATGATGGTATGTGATTATTTCCAAGTGTGCATACAAACAGCAACCTGTTTTCCTCTGGTTCCTCTAGGTAGCAAAGACTAAACTTTTTCCTTTGAGTTTCTACATTTAAAATGTAGCTGTAAATGTGGAAAAGCTATATTGGACAAATGGGTTGTGAATTTTACTCAGATTATTACTGAAGAGAAACCAAAACATATGAAATAGGAGCATGGTTTAAGGTTTTTTTGGTTTTTTTTTTTTTTTTTAGCTGGAAGCTCTTTTATTTTATTACAATAATTTTCATATATTAGTAATGTACAGGGAAAATAATTTTTTAGAAGTAAAAACACTCCATGTGCACTAATCCTCAGATTCATGTTTTATTAAGTTTAATTAGGTACTTGGTTCTATATTTTGCATTCACATAATCAAAGTAATTTGGGCCACGTTCTGTTCAGAGATCTGTAGATATTAAATGGAATTTTAAAATATTTCTAAGAATACTGAGAATTATACCATGAATCAGTCACATCATGACGTGCTTTATTTGTTGAATGTTCAACAACTTCAAGCTATGGTAGATGTTATTTTGCCCTAGTCTTTTGAAGTTATGCAAAAGTTAAGGAGCTCTGTAGTTTATGGGTCTAGCAATGGGAGACAACTTTTAATTTCCAAGTTATGCATTTGCAGATTGATAACTGCATGTATTACTGCTGAATGGTCAAAAGATGATGCCAAATGAGACCTCAGCCTTGGAAATGTGTATAAAGGTTCATACATTTTCCAGATGTGCTTAAACCTTCAAAGTTTTGGAGCTTGAGTTAAGTTGCCTCCATCCAGATCCAAGGCAAGTGTCCACAGCATAAAAAACCCACCACATACAGAACAAATTGTCTATCACAGATCTTTTTCTGTGCTTTAAAGTAGGCCTTGCCTGGACCATATTTTGAGGTGTCTGTCAACTCCTGGCCTTCATATTGCTACATAATCCTACTCTTTATTCCAGCTTTGGTAGACCTTTCTGTATGTTTTATATAAAACAGAACCACAACATTAGGGAAGCAATAAGTACTAAACTCCTTTCTTGCTGGCCAGGTACCTACTTTCAGCCTCCTTATCCTAGGATAACCAGAGAATTACATAAAAATTCCATTATGTTATTCCTAAACATTTATCTAATTAGATCACTAATATATGAATACTAAGGCCCAGATCCATGATGGTTTTTCAGGCATCTAACTCCTAATTATTTCTATGGGCATTAAGGTATTCAAATAAACTTTGTGGATCTGTACCAAAGCACTTACTGTATATGGATACTGAATGTATGAATAACTCCATTAGCTTAACAGACCCCTTGAATACGGCATGAGAAAATACCTGTAAAATGAACGTGGGATATTTTCAAAAGTATAACTTATTTTTATGACTAGCTGATCTCATAGGGTATCTATTTCTTTACTGCTTTCTGTGCCAGGAACCCATGAGCTCTGTAGGGTTGGATACTATAAGTGTTACTGAAAATGATATGAATAAGAATATTATCTTACATAGGAAATTAAATTGTGAAAAACAGTTGGTGGGGAAGAAAGAGAGAAAGACCACGTACAACTGTTTGGAAACAAGAGTGCAGCTGTGTTAGGAAAGGTGGCTTGTCTTGTAGTGCTAGGACTCGCTTTTCAACCATGGTACATTCTACATCATCGTCCTGAATCACCACATCTTTTTTCAGTATTTTGATTGCATACAGCTCTTCTGTCCCCTTCCTGTCTGCCAGCATCACCTGTACAAAGAGAAATAACAGGGTGAAAATCTTCCTCGCTGTCAGAGAAAGGTGGTGACTCATAAGCCTTAGGAAATGTGTAAATGGCACTCCACTTTCTGTTCTGCTGGTGCGTACCGACTATTCTGAAGCTCCAAAAATAGCATGATTACTCACCGATTACAGCAAGCTGTACTAGTCATTGCAAACCCACTGTTTACAGTGACACCTGTGCCAAGGCTCACAGGCTAATCATGGAGACCTTTCCTAAGACTCAGTAAAATGTCAGACCCCATGTAAATTCCTTTATAAAACAGACTTTATTGTATAGCCACCTGGTGAAACAGCCAAAATTAGCAGTAGCCCTTTTGGTACCAAACGAGTGGCACTGGATTCATCATCGTGATATTTCCTAAACACACATTGCAAACACTGCTGCCTCAGGCTACTCCTGGAAATGGCAACAGAAAGACACAATCCTCTTCAGCTTTGGGAAGGTCTGAACCCCAAAGTCTGGACGCTTGAACTCACTGCAAAACGTGGAGATGCTTTGTCAGAATTAATGTTCTTAAACTTACCAGGAATTTGGAAACTGAATTCTTAAAATGTCACCTAACCCAGCATCCAAATTTTGCAAAAAGATACCGATATCAATGCCAAAGGACACAAGACAGGCACTTGTAGGCTCATCTGCTAACCCAGGCAGCTACATAGAGAATGCCATTATTTACTATAGCATTAATTTTTGAAAATTGGCCTGCAAAAATTGAATGTCAAGGCATTTATTGGTTTCATCTTAGCAATTTCATACTACAGAAAACAAATACTCCCACATCTAATATCTTCCAGTTAACTGTCAATATAAAATAATTCAGTTTTGCAGACATGAAGATATCCTACTGCCCTCTGCAGGCTATCAGATGCCGTAGTATGCATGGATAAATGAATAACAGAGCAAGTACAGGGTGTTTAAACATAGCACTATCCTTCTTCCAAATCTTGAGGGAACTCAGTGGCATTTTTTTCCTATTGGCTTTATGAATTCATAGCTCTTAATAGTGAAAGGGGTTGTTATTTAGTTTGTAAGCACAGGCCACAAAAGTTCAGCAGTTCCAACATCTTGACCAACCACTTGACGTTCAACTAGAATGCCCCTTTCAGAAAGGTGCTTGATTGTGACTTAAAGACCTTGGGCTCTGGGGGGGAGGGGGGCGGTGCTTTAATCAGAGTAGCTCTCAGAGCCACTCTCGTTAAAGCGCCACTGTCTTGTGTATCAGCATCCCCGCATGTCAAATGGTGGTGGGGGTGCTTGAACTAAAGCTCATTCGACGAGTTTTAGCTCAAGCACCTTCGCCACCATTTTGAAGTGTGGGGACACTGAATGCTGATAGATGACACGTACAAAAAACTAGAACTCTTGGTTCCAAAAGGATACCTTTAATTAGACCAACTGCGAAATCGCAAGAAAACTGTTCTTTTCGGCAAGCTTACGGGATCAAAGTCCCTTCGTCTGGGAAAAGTATAGATGGTACAAGATTTCCCAGTTGGTCTAATAAAAGGTATAATTTTTTGTATGTCTTCTTGTCTCAGACCAAGACGGCTACCAAGTACACCCCTGATGCATAAGCTACGGGAGGTTGCTGGAAGGCAGTATTTGCCACGCTCCAGCAGACTCGATTAACCATTTACCTTCATTCCAATGGTTACTAAGTCTCCATACCTGGGAGCAGAATTATTAGTTAATTTCTGAATTAAAAATAAAGCAGGTAGAACGGATTTCAATGTTTCTTACCTTTCCAAAACTCCCCTTGCCAAGCACCATGAGAAAGTTGAAATCTGTCAGTTGTACGTTATCTATGTTGTTGGATGGTAGAGTGGAAATCCTGTCTCCTTTTGGAGTAATGACTTTGTTACCAGCTGGCCCAAGTCTGGCTTTCTAGGGAAGTAAAGGAGTATTGCAGTCAGAATTGCAGACTGTTTTTGCAGTAAAACACGAGATGACTGACTCGAGGCTGCATTCTCAGGAAAAAGGCTGCATAACAAAAATGTTTCACAAACACAAATTTAAAGATTCATTCCAACAACACTTTTGACATTATTAAGTGAATGAAAACAGGAAACTGTCTGTGCTTAACCAGATAAAAGCAGATACTTATCTGGTTAGAAAAGCATAATCAAAGCAACAACAAAAAAATCTCATGCCAACAGCAGGCTAATTTGTGATTTTTGCTTTTAAATATAAAGAGTGCTCATGCTGTAATCTCATTAGTGTATTTTAGGATACACTCTTCAATACATTCTCGTTTGAATGTTATACTCAAGTTCATTCTGCATAGCAACAGTTAGGAAGTGTGTGACATGCACTGTGAAAAATAACCTCCACTTTTAAAAACCAACATATTATGACAGACAATGATAATGAACGTGGCCACTTTTGGACAGGCATTACAATCAACTTTGATTTCATTCAAGCGTTGATCTAGGGCAGAAGGGGCAATATTGCATACATAAGGTTTAAGTTGGCAAGATAGTTTGTTTTGTAGAAGGTTGCAACAGCATGAATACAACAAATGAGATAAAACTGCTCAGTTAGGTTGCACTTCAAACCTCAGAGTTAATAAAGGAAAAAATTGAGACTCACCAAATAAAAATGTGAGGTATAACACCACAAATTCCCCTCTTTCCTCAAACTTATCCCACACACTAGCAGAAATGAATCCAAGACGTTTTCATGCTGGCATTACTCTTCATTTTAATGTTTTTCCCCCTCAACTATACAGGGGATCCAGCGAGTTGACCCATCTAAATGATTACTAATGTGGACAAAGAGCTTTGCATCTTCAAGGCACTTTCCAATATTAGCTATTCCTTGCTCCATATCTGGAAGGTACAGTAGTTGCATATTTTTTACCATTTTGCAAGTAAGGGAGCTGAGGCATCAAGAGGTTAAATCACTTGTCCAAAATCCCACAGTCAGCTTCAAAGTCTGGATAAGAACATACCCTTGTGCGCTGCACATGGAAATCTCCCTCCCTCCAGAGCTAAACAGTAAGGGTAAGAATACAGGACTGGAGGAAACTGCTTGGGGCAGGGAGTCTCAGCTACCAGCCCGTTTTTATAACTCCTTTCAGAAACAGTCAAAATCCAGCTCATGGATTAGATTTTTATCCATGCTATGATTGGAAGGCTGTTTTGGGATCCTTTTATGTGTGTGTAAAGTGTTATACTTCACCAGTAGATACAGGATTTTTTGTATTCAACAAACCTGAATGTTTTTCCTTTTATATTTACAGCAGATCTTAAGAATAACAGTATTTTCAGATTTTATCCTGTATTATTATTATTATTATTATTATTATTATCTACTTGTACTGCAATATCACCCAAAAACACCACTCAGGGTCCAAGCTCCATTGGGAGAACTGCTGTATAAACACCCAGTAAGAGACGGCTCCTGCCCCAGATACCTTTCAGTGCAAGTCGCTGATAGTACGCTGCATTGTTCATACCAGATACAACTGCTGACAAACCCCCACGGGCTTCACAGGAATTTTGCAGAGCCAGAAAGGTCTGCCTCCGAAAACCAAATGGCAGGACCAGCAGATCCCCTTGCACACTTCTTCTCCCAGTCTGTCAGCTCAGCAGCACTGATGGAGCTCACTCCCTGCACATATGGTTTCTTCCCACTCGGTTTCATGCCTGAGGATGCAAACACTATTCGACATCCCTTTCATTCTAAATTATTAAGATTTTGGGCAAAATATCAGTTTCTTGGAAACAATAATATTCATTTATTTATAAACGACTCATTAATAGATACTTTATTCATAGCTCCCTCTACATGTGACAGTTGTGGTGTGATTAACATGTCAATCATGGCATAAATGGCACATGTGCACCCAATTTTAGGTGCCATAAAATGGCAAACCAGCCATAAAAGGGTTCCACATATAATGTAGAGACTTGTTACAATGTCGAACCTTTTTCATTTGTATGATGCCTTAAATTGAACATGTAGCAGGTCCGGGCCAGGGCTAGGCAGGGACCCCAGTTCCAGACTCTGGTGCAATCCCTGGCCAGAGACAACAATCAGCTGATTGTTGGCCCTGACCCTGGACCTGTGCACATCCTGCTTTCAACTTGGTGGAGCAGGGGAATCCCAGGATCGTGATCCTGGGCTCCCCTGCACTAGCAAGTAGAATGGGTATGATTAGGTCTTATTCCTGATCCCCAAATTGTGTTTGCTGCAGTACATGGTGGCCTGGCAGTAAGCCCCGCTGTCAGGATCATCAGTTAGCTCCAAAAAGGGAAATAGTTTTCTTAGTAAGCTTCATGCCCTCTGCTGGCTGCAAACAAGAAGGCATTTCAGGCTCCTCATAAGTAACAACTACAGGGAAAATTCAATTCTCACTAAGATGAGAGAGAGGACAAAAATGAATCTTTAAAGCCAGAAAAGGCTGGCTGGTCATCTTAGCAGAACAGACTTGGTCCTGAGATACTAATATTTGTATATATTTTAAATCCATAGTCATTAATTAAGTGGGGAAAATTCACTCTGCTGCTCTCCAGGTAAGTTGCAATGCTGTTTCTGGGGTTTGGAACATTTTATTTTCTAAAAGCAAAATATCTTTCTCACTGTGAAGCTAATTGCCTGAACATAAATAGAGGCAATTACTCAGTTTGCTGAATAAGGAGCACTTGGGAATATGCAATTTATCACACTTATATTGAACGTTCAATATACTTGTAAATGTGATAATATCAAAGTTAAAAATATTCAAGATAAATATATCTAATCTGTACAAACATGACACAAGAACTTTACCAAAAATGTGTACCGTGGTATATCAGGTTATTTTAAGTGAAATTTTATAAAAAGTAAGGTATGCAGGACATATGAAAAAATAAATGGGTGGTTTGAGGCCGAGTGTAAAAGGCTTGGTAAATCACACGTGACTTTTTACGAATCTTATTTAAAAGAGTTCGAGATGAGTGTCCTTGTAAATACTCTGCAGGCATTACAGAGAAACAGTGCCTGTTGTAAAATTTGACTTTTGTTACATCAAGAAAGTATTGGGAGAATGGGGAAGAGGGGACATTTTTTGCCTTTCACTAGCCTGCAAAAAAATGGATTCCCTGGTTTGTTTTATAATTTGGGTATCTTATACAAGACTTAATATCTCAGTGTATCTTAAATACACTGGGTTGTATTTAAGAGGAGTGCCACTCACAATCAAGGGAAGTGCTTCTTCCACTCTTCAGCACTGGTGAGGCCTCACTTGGAGTACTGTGTCCAGTTTTGGGCCCCACACTTCAAGAAGGATGTGGACAGATTGGAAAAGGTCCAACACAGAGCAAAAAAAAAAACCTACTTAGGAACTTGGGAGGCAAGACTTGAGGAAAGGCTGAAAGAACTAGTGTTGTTAAGCCTGGAGAAGAGAAGACTAAGGGGGAATTTGATAACAGTCTTCAAATACCTGAGGAGCAGCTGCAGAAAGGATGGAGATGATCTTTTCTCTGTGACCATTGGGGACAGGACTAGGAGCAATGGCCTCAAAGCTTCAGCAGGGGAAATTTAGATTGGAGACTAGGAGGAACTTTTTATTAGGGTTCGGTGACCTAATCTCTGAATTTGAATTGAATCAGGAGACCCTTTAATCTCTCTGAATCAAATCAGAGATTTGAAGCTGGGCAATGAGGGGGGCCCCCCTGCGCTCCCCAGTGGACCTGGAAATAGACTGGAAATACTTCTGGTCCACTTCCAGGTTTGCCGCTGAGCACATGGAGGGCCCCCTGCGCTCCTGTGGGACTCTCCATGCGCCCCAGCATTGCAGCATTCACGAGCTGTGCTGGTATCTCGAGGTATGTAGAAAAAACATTTAAAGCTGTGTCTGTGTCCAAATCGCTGATCGAATCTTCAGATTTGGATTCAAATCAGGGACAATGATCTGAATCAATGAATCGAATCACTGTCCCTGAATCCAAATCCAAATCGAATAGGGCCCGCTTTGCACACCCCTAATAAACAGGAAACCCAGAACGAACAAAAATTTCACGCTGCTCTGCAGAATCAGTTACTATGATATACTCTACATGGTTCAATAATATTCAATATATAACCAAAAACCCTGTTTTAAACTTCAGGGAAGTTTATGTCTGTTTATATCTACATTTTTTTTCCAGCAAAGTCAGTGAATTAAAAATACCCCCAAAACTTACTTCTTGTCTCTTTAGCATAGTTAACATTTTAAAAAAGAATATTTTTTAGTTTGTAATTAGCTTTTTTGATAGCTGATTGATCTCTACAGCATGGCAGTTCACTTTTTTATGGCAACCACAGATAATTTAGCACCTTCTTCACTGGGATGAAAAGCAATTAAGATGGTGTTATGCATTGCTGAACTGAATCTAAAGAGGAATTCAGTCATTTATTATACAGTAAATAGAATAACTTCTTATTGTCACTTCAACATTACAAACCATGCAATTGGGGGTGGGAACAGGAACCACTCATAAACATTAAACAGCATTTTCAATAAAACAAACTTATTCTCTTGGATGACATATCGTAGACTCGTTTGTAAACATAACTGAAAACTTCTTCCTATGAGCACTGTCAATTTTAATTATTTTGGGGATATCACCCCCAAGGAAAGGATAAAGAGTCCTCAGGGCAAAAACCAACAACAATAAAACAAAAAGCATTTTCTATCAGAGACATTTCATGTACAATGCTTAAACCCACACCACGACATATTCCACACGCAGCCAACACCTCCTACGGGACCCTGTGCTGGGATTTGAGATGAAAGAGATCAAGGGCAAACACTGCAAGAGGATGCAGTGTTGCAAACAGTGATATAGCAGCTTTCCTACTGTTACAGCAGACACCACCAGTCAATTTATGTGAGTCAGAGGTGCAGGATTTGACCTGGG